TGCTTTAACTAAGTATTTTTTGTTATTGAATATAAAGGATTTTGCAAATATTTTATTCAGTTTTGTTTATATCTACTTAAATCTTTCCACCCCTTTTATAGAATAGAATAGAGTAGAATAGAATTTTCCTGCTTTGTGTTTCAACTCTCATGGTTGCTAAGCGACAGAGCATATTGCTTTCGGAAGGCTGGACCTGTTTGAATTCACAGCCAAAAGTCTTCCAGTCTCCTTATTTTCACCTCGATGGATCCAGTCCAGGTAGATCGCGTCTTTGGAAGATGCAGCCTATAACTTCGAACAGAGCCCAGGTCTATTTTAGTCGGATTACGCAGCGATTTAACAGCAATTTCATGGGTCTAACAGGAAGAGAGACGCGGTTACAAAGCAAAGCACATCCGCTTTGGGGGAAAATCCAAAATAAAATCTGTTAATCTGACGGGGAAAGAGTCAGTCTGGAGTCGCACATCGCGTTTATAGTAAGCAGGACAGACTGGAGCAAAAACAATGAATGAAACATTAAAATAGAAAACTTTCCCCATGATAGGAGTTAAGGAGGATAGAAAACGGATAAAGTAGTGATCCTCTTTGAGCCTCACAGAAACCACAATAACAAGCGGCAGACAGAGCAGGTCAGCGTATCTCTCTCACCTCTTTATGGAAAAAAGAAAGAAAAACTTGGAGAAACTTCCCAGATCTCTCTCTGAGAATAGCTTCTCTGCCTCAGTCACCATGGAAACCGTCCCACAGCGTTTATTGCTGCGTTTTTCTTTTCTTTAGACGTAAATCTTAATAGATGAACATTCTTTATCTGTTCTGGTTCTAGATGCTGCACAGAGCTTTGCTTTATAGAATGCACCAGACCCCTGTGCAGGCCACGCCAAATGATCCAAAGGACCTCCTGCCGTGCGTCCTGTACAGCTTTAAGATGCCCAGAACCACATTCTTTGACTCTCTTAAAAATGTTTTTTTTTTTTCTGGCTAGAAGAAACTGTTTCTTCCAGTTTCTTTCGGAATAAACTTGGAAGATCAAATTTACTGGAAAGTTTTGCTTCTTTTGGTGAATATTTTGCCTTAAGCAGGCCCAAATCCACAAATAACCTCGAGGTGGGGTTCAATATCTATAAA